TCGTGTGCCCCCAACTGGGGACCTGGCCCGCAACCCAGACACATGCCCTGACTGGGAATTGAACCCATGACCCTTTGGTTCACAGGCCAGCACTCAGTCCACTGAGCCACACCCACCAGGGTGATGTACTGCTTTTAAAAGAGAGTTTCCATTCTAAGTTGCTACAGAATATGAAACATCCGAGATCAATGAGGATCTGTGATGACCTGTCAAAGTCCTCATTTTATCAGGAGAATCATCCCTCCATCAGCATTTCTGGGGAGGTAAGAACCCGCCCCCACCCCGGAAGAGCCCCCTCGCCGTCTGGGAGGAGGGCCGAGGGCGCATGGGCGTCGCCGCCCCCGGCACCGGGCGTGCCCAGGGAGCAGGTGCTGTTTCATGCCGGGCGTGAGCTCACTGTTGCTTCGCAGCATCTCGCTCCGGGATACTCTGTCCACTGGAGGCGGCCAGGATCCTGACCCAAGGGTCAAGTTCACTGTGGCCCTGAGCCGGGCCGGCTGGCCGTGGGGTACAGCCTTCTCTGCCGACGGCAGGCAGGGGCTGGTTCCCCCAGCTGGTGCCCCCGTCAGTGGCCCAAGACGACCTGGGCGTGTGCACTGCTTCGCCAGCAGCCCCGGTCCAGGCTGAGCCCAGGCAGACGGCTAAGGACGCCCCAGAGCCCGCCTGTCGGCTGTCAGTTCCCAGTGAGGACCCCTGGCTGGCTGGGCCGGGGGAGGGACAACTCGGTCAGGCCGTGCCCCGGATGCTGAGCACTTAGGACTTTTCGTGGGGGTTTCGGTTGAAACCTGGCTTTGCTCTCCGACACCCAGCCTGTCTGCGCAGACAAGGTACACAACCCCTGCGGGCACCGCCGTGTGTGTGAGATACTTCGTGGGCCGAAAGGCGCTGCGCCGTGCTGGGCGATTGTGCCACAGACACCTTTACAATGGGAAGGGTTTGTGCTGTCAGCCGAAAGGACCCACAGAAAGTCATTATAGCCCTTCTGTTTGCAGAAGGAGCACAGAGAAGTTTATTCTGCTCTCATCGACACGGCCAGTGACTCATGGAAAACACTTCACGGCTGTGACCGAGAGGAGTGGTTTCGTGTCACTTGTCTGAGTGATGGGGTGGCCGGCCGGGAGCCTCGCGGCCCGCCCCGGCTGCCTGCTGCTCTGAGCGAGGGCTTCCGGAAGGGCTTGTCTCTGCGGCGGCGGCGGCGGCAGCGCGGGGAGCCAGACCGCAGCAGGACGCGAAGCGGGTGAACCTAGCAACCCGGCAACCCGACGGGGACCGGCAGCCGGGCTTGGGTGTGGCCCTGCAGTGGTGACTCGCTCTGGCGTTGGCTGGTTGGCTGTGACTCTCATGTTCCTAAAACAAAATTAGGCCATTCTACTTACCTCTTGCTCTTTTCCTGAGAAAGAAATTGGGTTTCTGCACATAGCCATATTGTACGTCAGGGAGGTGATTTTTATTTTAAATTGGGATATTGCACTTTTGTTGAGAGGCACAGCATGAAGGCGTTTAGGGGTGCCCAGGAGAGTTGGCTCTCCCCAAAACTCAGGCCCCGCTTGGCGCCGAGTTCTGGGTTTCAGCAGCGACTGCACATTCACGGCTCACTCACCGCCCGGCAGCCTGGAAGGGGCTGGGAATTCAGAGTCAGCCCATCAGAAGTGGCTTCCCGCCCAAAAGGACCTGTGTCATGGACCTCCGGGGTTCTTGCCTATGCCCTATACACGTTTATATGAGGACCCTGGGCCCTGGCTGGCGCAGTCCAGGCAGATGGTCACCTGCTCCCTGGGCCCCTGTCCCCCCCACCCATGCTGCTCTGACCAGGCGACAGAGCCCCAGGCCCTTTCTGCTGACCTTCCTGAGGATGGAAATGGGGGGCTCTCTCATCCGTTTGCTTCTCACCAGACACTCTCAGGTCGCTCTCGTTGTGTCTCCTTCAAGGTGGAGGGTGCACGTTATTCCGCCCAGCCGCCTGGGAGCTGGGCGCGCTGAGATGGACATCTTGTGCCCCCCCCCCGCCCCCGTGTCCCAGTCTGTTCACACAGCCACACCCCGAACTTTGGCTTCTTAGCGGACCTCCCGCAGACCGGGCGTGTGGGTTCCACCAGCCACCCAGTAGTCATCACCACGGTGGCCTTGCCCTCGCTGAGAAAAGTAGCAGGTGTCCTCAGCAGGAGGCTTCCACGCGGGACCCTTTTCCTGAGAGAGCTGGACATAACTAAGTGGGCGGGAGGCAGCCCACGGGCCTCCACGCTCTGCCCTCGGGCCCGGGGGCTGCAGCACAGCACCAAGCAGCGCCGACTCGGTGCTCCCCACACCCAGCAGCCGGCCCTCCGCCCTCGGGCTGACTCGGCCACGGCCCTGGGGCGGCTGGGCTGACACGCGTCGGAACATAGCGGCCTCCCGTCCACGAGAGTGATTTCCCACTGGCGTTCCGCAGGAATTTCTAACGCATGCCACCCCCGACTATTCAGTCAGGGGCGCTGACCTTTTCCCCTTGGTTCGTCAAATGAGAAAATGGCAACAGCCAACACAACAGTAGCAGCCCGGTGTGAATGAATCAAAACGATAGCTATTTTTTTGGTCAGATCGGCAAAACATATATATTTTTGATGGGCCACAGAATTTCGGTAACTCGTTTGTGTGCACCTCGAGATGAGAAGGCTGGACACCGCTGGCCGGGGAGCGGGTTGGACGGAGCAGCAGTGTCCGCGGACAGGCCACCGCTCAGCGGCGGGACGCGGACTCTCCGGTGCCCCCGCGGGTATCGCGCTGCGGGGACCTCTCCCTCGCTCCCGGCACAGAACTCACGCGGCGGCTTCTCCCTCTGCACCCTTGGCTTCTGCAGCTGTGTGCCCCCCCCCCCCAGCTTTCATGGGGGCTCTGGGTTTGCTCTCCTTCCTGGGCTGCCCCCTCGGTCCAGGCCCGCCCATTGTAACCATTGTTGCCAGCGTCCTGCCTGCCCCCAGCAGGAAGGCCCGGGTGCGTGGGGTGGGGCCCCTCTGCGAGCAGAGGGAAGGGTACGAGCTCAGGGCGGCGAGGCAGGTGTCGGTTTGAGGACCCACGGGGCGAGCGGGACTGCCTGCCCATGGCGTGTCTTCGTGTTTCCGCCCTCCGTGCCCGGGGACACTCCCGCCGCTGGCAGGTCCCGGGGAGACCCCATACGCGGACAGGGCCGTTCGTCCCCCTGGATGGGAATATTTGAACCGAAGTCTCTGAGACTTCGGCGGCTGCTCTGCCCATTGGCCGTCACTCCCACCTGGGAAGCTGGTGCCGCTGCGAAAGTTACAGCCGCTTTCCGTGGTAAACTCCCTGAGTCCTGCGTTTGGTCCCGTAGAACGGTTTCCAATTATTTTCTGCAGTTCACTTAGTTTCGTAAAACCAAGAACTGTAATTCACAAACAGGTTCAAGAAGTGCCGCAGCAAGAAGACGAGGCGTCGGAAGGAAGGCATTACGATCCCCGACACCGATTTCCCTGGGCCCCGGGTGCCGCCACAGCTTGGCGCTCGGCTCGCCTGAAGCGTGGGGGAAACCTGGCCAGTTTCTCACTCTTCTCACAGCGCCCACGCAGACCCTTTACCCTGCCTCTTTTCTGTCGCCCCCACCCCTTTTCTCGCCTTCTGTCTCCTGGGTCCAACCCTGGGTCCCCCAGAGCCTCCTCTGCTCTGGGCCCTGCCTTCCCCAGCCCACACCCCACAGCCCCTGCGGAAGGGCGTGCTGTCGCAGTGGGCAGGCCAAGGCTCACAGGTTACTGAGAATTAGGTTAGGGGGGCAGGGAGGGGGAAATTGGGGGGCGGCGACATTTAAAACATTCACGTGTGAATTTGTGGTCTCCCTTGGGAGCAGCCTTTGCAAAGAAGTAGGCCCGGTGGCTCCACTGCGAGTGCCCCTTTGGAGGCAGGGAGGTGGTCGCTCGGAAACGAGCCTCCAAAAACGTGTCCCCCGCGGGCAGGGGTTGAAAGGGGTCGACTTGACCGCCCGGCCCGGCCGGAACAGGCTGATATTCTGATGAGGGCCACGGTGTCATCTGTGGCTTCTGCCCGGCCCTGGCGAGGTCAGCCCGCAGGACTTTTAAAGCCCGAAGCGGCGCGCGTCCTGTGGCTGGAAGAGGCGCGCGCGGGGAGGTTGGGTCCCTTTCCCCGCGCTGGAACGGAACGACTCCATCCCGCGCCGGGCCTGCCCGGCCCGTGCCCCGCACGCCCTCCCGGCCGGAGCCTGGATGGTGCGGCCCGGCTGTGAGCCACCGGATCCGCGCCGCACGGGTGGCAGCCGCCGGGGCTGATGCGTGGGAACACTGATGGGGAGGCGGCCGGGGCGCACCCCGGCCTCGGACGCCGGTTCTCGCCGCCTGGGCCACGCGCTCGTGCCCTCCTGGAGGCCGGCCCCTTCTCGGGGTGACGCGTCCACGGGCCGGGAGGTGCTGCCGGGCTCGGCTGAGACTGCCAGGTCGGCCCGAGCCCAATTTGGCCCCAGTTTCGAGGAGGCTGCTGGACCGTGGCGGCCGGAGCCGGCGGTGCGGCGGCCGCGGCGGGAGCCGGGGCGGGAGCCGGGGCGGTGGGGGAGGGGAATGGAGAAGGCGCTCGCCCCGCCCCCACGCAGGCCCCGCCCCGACAAGCCACACCCCCCAGCCTCCGGTTCCCGCCCGCGCCTCTGGGCGGGGTCGGCTGGGGTCTGCTTTCCCACCGCTCTCCAGGGGGACCCGAGGGAGGTGGGCGGTGACTGATAACCGGGGAGATGGGGCACGCACCTCTGGGCGCGGGGCGCGGAGCGCAGGCTGGGGGCGGGCCCCTGGGGAGGGGCGGGGCGGGGCCCGGGTGGGCGGGGCGGGCCCTAGGGGAGGGGCGGGGCGGGGCCCGGGGGCGGGGCCGGTGGGCGGGGCGGGCCCTAGGGGAGGGGCGGGGAGGGGCCCGGGTGGGCGGGGCGGGGGCCCGGGTGGGCGGGGCGGGGCGGGGCCCGGGTGGGCGGGGCGGGGGCCCGGGTGGGCGGGGCGGGGCGGGGCGAGAGGGGTGGAGGCGCTCCTCTGCAGGCCGGGGGCCCCCTCCTTGCTGGGAGGCCCGGGGCCACCTGCGCCACGCCCCTGGGCCGCGCCCGAGCCGGGAAGGGGGGAGCGCGCCTCGCTTGGGGAAGGGCGAGTCCTGTGCCGCCGCGGGCCTGTCCCTGAGCCGGAATCCGCCGCGTTGGGCATGTGGCTGTGCTGAGAGCCTGAGCCCGCCGACCGAGAGCCCGGCGCCCCCCGAGTTTCTGGCCTGGCCGTGCGAGGAGGTGGACGGGCAGCCGGGCACCATGACCAACCCCGCGACCGCGCAGAACAAGGAAATAGACTGCCTGAGTCCAGAAGCCCAGAGAGTGGTAAGAGGAGAACGCAGGAACTTGGGTGCTGGCGCGAACGTTTGGTCCTTGTTGGTGTTCCAAGGTCCAGGGCAGTGGTCACCTTCGGCCGCAGGCGTCCGTGCCTGGCGCGGCGTGGGGCGGGCTCCACCTGGCCAGGCGCCCCTCCTGAGTGAACTTCCCCACGCGAGGATGTGCGGGTGGGAGGGGACCTGCCCTCCGTTCAGTTCGCCGCTGCGTGCGCGCTGACCCCCTGGGCAGAGGGTAGGTTTCTCCGGACGCAGTTCCTGCCAGGACGAAAAGGACGGGGGCCGCTCCCTGGTGCCTGTGAGCGGCTCTGCCCCAGCCCGGCGACGGGGCCTCTGAGGCCTGAGACCTGCGCGTGGTCTAGAGTCTTGGAGGGGGCTGTTCGCCGGGTGTTTTACAAAGCACAGTGCCCCGGAGGAGCCGCGCCGGCAGCCAGGCCCTCTGCCCGAGACCGGCGGCATGTGGTGGGGGAGGGGGTTGTGTTTCAGGGCACGGCCCCTGTACTGCACCTTCTGACCTCTGGGGACTGAGCCGGCTGCTCCACCTCCCCCAGCACCCCAGCCTCCAGAGAGACTGGCTAGTCTCCTGGGGCCCTCTGGGCCTGGACAGGGTCCCGCAGGGTGTCACAGTTATCCGGCTTAAGGCCCTTGGGCGTGGGGTAGTCTGGTTAAAACTGGGCTGGCGGGGGAGTGCTCTGTCATTCCCCGTTGTCATGGGGCTTGTGATTGGTCGATGGGAATGTTTTAGGCAAAACGGTGCGCCTGGGAAAGGAAACGTTTTGTGAAGTGACTCCTGCAGAGACCCCAACTTCCCCTTCCCCGGGCCCCTGTGGGAAGTCGATGAACGAGGGGTCCCCAAACTCTCCCTCCTGCACCAGGTGGGCATCAGTGATCACCAGCGGGGCGTCTGGGGGGGTCCAGATGAGGAGACCGCCTGACCTCGGAGGCCCTGAGCAGTGGGCAAGCGCTGGAGAGGGAGAGAAGTGGGCTGGGATGCACGCCCCCTGGAGAGCCGCCTCCTGGGGTCGTGGGGCGGGATTTCCACGTACACGCTGGTGGGCCGCCTGGGAGACCGGCCTCCCGCCGACCCCGTGGCCTCCGTGGTTCCCAGGGGCCCGGGAGCCTGCAGAGAGGGAGAGACCCCGGTTCACCACCAGGGGCGGGCGGGCCCTGGGAGGGGTGCGGTCTGCACTCCCAGGCGGAGCCGTGGAAGGCCAGAGCTGGGCACGCTAACCCCGGGCTGGACGGAGCTCCGCGGAAGGAACTCTGGGCGGGGACTTTCTGAAGAAGGAAAACCTTCGCCAGGAGGACAGGGACGTGAGGAAGGGGGGGAACTGTCCGTCCCAGGGAAGGGTAGAAATAACGGTGGCTCCCGGGGCAAGGGTCTCCTTAACCCTTCGCTTAGCCCTTGGGTTGTTGGGTCTGGCGGACGGGCGTGCTTCACAGAATTAGGGGAGGGGCCGTCTGGACCGGGTTCTGGCTGAGGGGTGTGCCGTCAGCCCCGGTCCCCCCCCCCCCCGCCCCCAGTCCAGAATTTCCACCCGAGCGCTGCAAGAATTCCCACAGCGTGTGACGCCTGACCGCTGGGTCGGGGCGCTGGCCCCCTGTTCCCTTAGATCATCAACTAAAAAAGTGACATCAGCCAACACAGCAGTAGCTGCCTGGTGCGAGTGCATCAAAACTATACTTACTTCTTTGTCAGCCCAAAGTGCAATGTCTGTTTCAGGTGTGCCGCAGGGTTTCAGTGGTTCGTCTGTGTGTGCCCCGAGGTGAAAAAGGTTCAAAATTGCTGCCCTGCTGTTTCCAGGGCCCAGGAAGCTCTCAACACCAAAAGTTGTTGCCGTATGTGGTGTGTGTGTGTGGTGTGTGTGTGTGTGTGTGTGTGGAAGAATTCATGGGACAGTGGGACCTGCCCCGACAGGCGAGGCTGCTTCCCCCGGTGTACTCCCTCATGCCCTCCCCCGCCCCCCGCAGCCATGCTCGGGCTCCAAGGGGGGGGTGCATGGTGGGTTGGTGGTGGGTGCACCTGAGCACCTTTCTGAAATAGGAAGCTGTTGAATTCCGAAATGTACCAGCTCCCAGATTCGTGAACTTGTAGGAAGCTTTTTTTTTTTTTACTAAATAATAGCAAAACCTCTTTTGGAGTGAGAGCAGGGCGGGCAGACGCTAAGCCGGCCCCCGTTTCCTGAGGGGAGTGGTGTCCTTGGAGGGGAGCACGCGCAGTGGCCAGCTGGGGGCACAGACGGCGGTGGGGTGCCTTGGAAGGGCGTCACCCCGTGGCCACCCTGGGCATTTCACGCTGGTCTGTGCCACTTGGGTTCTGCATGAGGCGACCCCGTTGCCCTGGACGCAGGTGTCTCCCATGGGGACGGCAGGTGGGGGCGGGGGGGGGGGCACAGCAGTGCGGGAGGAGAGCCGGGACTAGCCCTGCCTGGACAGGAGGGGCGCGGGGTCAGAGCAGGAGCCCAGGCTCCTCCCAGGACCCTCAGCAGCAGCCCCGGAGCTGTCCCGGAGGACAGTGTAGAAACCACACACTTATCTCACTGTTGTAACTTCCCGTGTGAGACACGGGTTGTGTCACCTGTGGTTGCTTTCCACACGCTGACTGGCACAAACGGACAGACACCCGTCCTGTCCGTCCGAGAGGCGGTCCCCGCAGCGCTGGGTCCGGCCTCCGGCTCCCCCCACGGGTGTGTCCCCGGGCCAAGGTCCCGGGTCTCTGCCGCCGCTGCCGCCGGCAAAGGTGTGGACGTAGGTGGGGCTCAGGCGGCCGGCCCTGCCCGCGGGACGCTCAGCCGGAGGTTCTGAGCCCTGGTCACATGGTCTGTTTCGGATCAGGCGTTTCCTCCAGCGGTGGAGACACAGAAACACCGAGTGAGGTGTTTTCTCACCGCGCGGAGAGCGTCCCGCCAGGGCAGAGAAGGCTGCGTTTCCCTTTTTCTTGACGCGTTAGTTTCTGTTCGGCCTGAGCTAATGCCACGGGGCGGAAGCCTCCTTGGCAGAAAGTTTTTCAAGCCCCCGCAGTCTAAACCGCCACTGACGCCCAGCACAGGAAATCGAGCTATTTATAAGTGCAGAGCTCTCTTCTCTCGAAGTTGATTGGAGTTTTTATTACCTACGCGAGCGAGGCCTTATCTCGTTTCTGCAGAGCCGCGAGGCGTGGCGTGGGTGCCCCGCGTCTGCGCCTCAAAAGGCAGTGTTCGGGAGGCATGCCCTATCCCGGAGAAATCGGGCCGGGTGACTCAGCGGAGGGAGCGGATGACTCGTCGGTTACTCATGTGCCAGTGCTTCCGAAATCTCCATCCGTGTCTCAGAGTCGGCGGCCCCGAGCCCAGAAGGTGGGGGGTCCCTGACCCGTTAAGGAGAGGAGCCTGGTGCAGCCAGGGACACGAGGGGTGGGCGGGAGAGCCCACCCTTTTATCACCCCACTGTTCTAACCCCGAGCCTCCCAAAGTGCAGTTGGCTCTTTTGAATAAACAAGCTTATTTTCATGGACTGAATTTACCCAGACTTTCATTATTCAAACTATCCGGATAAACCTAAGTGCAGTGAAATTTTCTCCTAAGTGAAAGCTTTGTTTTGGCTACCCCCGCCCCCAGCCGAACTGCAGCACGAAGGAACCAGAAGCCAACAAACAGGAGCTGCACGGCCCGGCTGTGTGCTGAGCTGTTCCTGCACTGGGGGGTGCGGGGGGGGGGCGGAGCTTCACCTGGTTTCCTCCTTAACCCAGTAACTCGGTAACTTGAAAGCAGTTTCGCTTTGAGTACAAAGAACAAGTACTTTGTAGCAAAGGCGTGAGTTATCTTCAGTTACTGTGATGAGCATTTCCTTTTAATTTTAGCCAGAATGTTTCATTCACAGGCTTGTGTGATAGGACCAGTGAACGCAGCTTCGGCCTAAAAAAGGCACTTGGGCCTGTGGGGTGGGGGGGGGAGGGATGAGGAGTGGGCCGTCCCCCTCCCCCGCCCCACCCTCCCCTCCCCCGCCCCGCCCTCCCCCTGCAGGTCCGGAGCTGAGCCCACATTGCTGCAGCACTGGTGACAACGGGCAGCATTTCCCGTCACCCCGCGCCCCACCCCGTGTCAGCCTGTTCCGAGTTTCCTGTGGGCGTCGTCCCCAGCACTGGCGGTAGCCCCATCTCGTGAGAGGGCTCGGTCACCTCCGCTGACAGATAAAGAGGAAACTGAGGCTCGGAAGGGCCGGGGACTTCCCCCAGTGCACACAGCTAGCAGGCCCGTGAGCTGGGGCGGACAGCTGTCCCCACAGTGGCAGCGCCCCGGGGCAGGAAGCTGCTGTCGGAAGCTCCTCTCCTTGCAGCCCCGGGGCCTCACCGCCCGGGGCCTCACCGCCCGGGGCGGTGGCCAGGGTTTCGTTCCACTGGGGCAGCCCCTTCAGACGCGAGGCCTCGCCCTTGAGCGCCTCTCCAGAAGTGTTCATTGTGTAAATGTTTCACGTCTATTTCTGGTAGTTTTCAAAACTTTTCAGAAGGAAAGAACACGCAGTGGACTCAAGTTTTCTAAATAAGGAAGAGAGCACCAGAAAGGGGGCGGGGGGGGGGTGGCGCGGGAACGCTGTAGACGTTTCTCTCTCTCTCCCATTCCGAGTACCTGCTTAATGAGTCCTGCCAGTCAGTGCCAGGTGACATGGGGACCCGGGGCAGCCGAGCCTTGTCCCCTGTGCTGTGGAGCCCCTGCCCTACGCCACCCGGACAGACCGGCCCCTGGAGGGGAGAGCAGGTGGCGTTCGAGTCTCCCCCAGCCAGTTGCAGGGCTGTCCCGTGGACACAGGACACGGGGAAGGTCGTCAGCGGCCGGGTCCTTCCCGACACGGGTCGCGTGGTGCTGCTGCAGGGCCTGCCTGACTCCGAGAAGGAGCCACAGCGATGCCGTGGCACCTGGAAGGGGCGGGGCCCACGGGGGAGACCCTGAGTGGAGACGGGAGGCGGCGGAAGGGGGCGGAGCGCAGGTGCATTGGCTGCCGGGGACACGTCCCCCG